ATTTGGATATGTTCTTTTTGACGATGAATGCAACATCATTCCTCTTCAATTTGTCATTCCCGGCATAATAAGCCATGTGGTTTTTAGATTCAAAATGGCCAATAACAGTCCATTTCAGCTCACTAATGCCTAACATATCCATGTTTATGTGTTCCATTTTTCTTAGATGTTTTATTGTGAATTATGTGATAGTTTACATGGGAGAACATTAGTTTTACATTCATTCTATCTTATATCATTTCATTGCCATGATTACAATCCCCTCCATGCATCATCAACCAACCAAAGGGTATACACTATAAGCCTGCACCCTGGTCATCAGCACACAGCCCCTCTCCCTCTCTGGATCTAAAGTCCCCAGGGGTTCCATCTCTCCACGTTATCGCCTCTACCTCCATCTCTGGCATCACTGCTTCTCTGGACAGGGTCCTGCTCTCCGCTCTTCTCCATTGATGGTCCCAGGGACCTCTGCTCCTAGACTGAAAGTTTCATTTTTGACAACTTCCAATTTTCCCAGATTCATACTTTGTACATTCCATGTTCCGATTTTCAGTGGATGTTTACAGCTGTTTCTCTTCATTTTGAGTTGTGCCCCATTAGCAAATGTGTATGAGTCATGTTGTTGTTGTTGTTGTTGTTGTTATGTGCCGTGGAGTCAGTTCCAACTCATAGCGACCCTGTACAGGGTTTCCAAGGCTGTGTATCTTTACAGAAGCAGAAAGCCTCATCTTTCTCCCACAGAACAGCTGGTAGTTTCGAACTGCTGACCTTGTGGCCCACAGCCCTATTCGTAACTACTACGCTACCAGAACATAGATGTCAATATCTACCTTCTTGAGAGACCATATAGTTTGTTTGTTTGGTGTTTTATTAAAAATAGAAATGGTGTTTATTCTCCTCAGCATAATTTGTGAAAGACCTGGATTCTGGTCTTGGTTGTCTTTCAGTAGCTGTGTGTCACTGGGCAGTCATTTTAACTTTCTGAGCTCTCATCATTTAGGATGAGTGATGATAATAGAGTTGCCTACCTCACTGGGTTAAGATACCCTCATAGCATAGTGGTTACAGTCTGGCTGCTAACCTCAAGGTCAGCAGTTCAAATCTACCAGCTATTCCGAGGGAGAAAGATGAGGCTTCCTGCTCCCATAAAGATTTACAGCCATAGAAATCCCATATAGGGTCACTATGAGTCAGAACTGACTCCACAGTACATAATCGCCACCACCTCACTGGGTTATTTTAAATATTCATAGTCAAGAGAGTAATTTTTCAATTGTAATGATCTCTACAAAATAAATTACAAAATCGTAAGTAGCATTTTTTAATGTTTGGTGGATTTTAAGAGTAGAGGTAATTTAACACTTTGCATAATAGTTGAAAGATTCTTTTTCTGTAAAAAATGTTTTAAAAGTGAGTGAACTTAAATAACCAGCAGGTAAGGAGTTTCCATCTTCAAAGTTCACAAAGCGCCGTCTGACATTACTTTTTAGCAGTCTAGAAAGATCTTTGTAAAATCCCTATTTTGCAAGTTAACTTGGTGGTGTTGTTCACTGCCAACTCAGAGACCTTATATAGGGTTTCCAAGGAGCGGCTGGTGAGCTTGAACCGCCAACCTTGCGGTTCAAATCGACCTTGCAGTCCAGCGCAGTAACCCACAGTGCCACACCAGTACTCCAAGTTAGATTGTTGTTGTTGTTGTTAAGTGCCGTAGAGTCGATTCCGTCCCATAGCGATCCTGTATAGGGTTTCCAAGGAGCAGCTGGTGTGCTTGAACCACAGACTTTGAACTTCAACCGACTTTGGGTCTGACACATTAGACCACAGCGCCGCACCAGGACTCCCAAATTTGATTAGTAGGTCTTCAATGTATTTGTGCAAAAACGTAAATTCTAAAAAGCCCTGTCACTGCCACTTAGCAGGGTATTTACAAAAGGATGAAACCTAAAGCGGCTTTCCTTGGCAGTTCCGCCTCCCTCGTGGGAGGGGCTGAACGAGGCGTCATCTCCTCCCCTATGACGCATCGGGATCCGCCCCCGCCTCTCCACTTCTCGCGGGATCTCTCCTGCGTACAGGACCGGGTCAGGCCCCGACATGGCGGCTGAAGAGGCTGATGTGGATGTCGAAGGGGATGTGGTGATGACGGCAGCACAGTCCGGGTGAGGCAAAGACTGGGTCTCTTTGGGGTACAGGGGGCGTGGGTGGAAGGAGAAGGCCTCGGGAATCTTGCGCGTGCGGCAAGGGACAGGGGATTGGAAGACCATCCGCTAGGCCCGCCCGCTTGCGCTTCCTGAACCCTGCGGATACTTGGCGCTAGAGTCGGAACGGCTCTTACCACCTTTTACCGGAGTGCAGTCGGGCGCCGATTCCGCCGGGCACATTGCACTCGAGCCAACAGTTCTAGTCCTCCTTCTCGCCCTTCCGCCTCAGCATCTCCCAGTTATCTTCCCAACCCCACACCTGCCAAGAACTGCAACAGGGGCGGCTTCCGGAGGGTCCACAACGGGACCCGAGCACAGGGACCCTTGTTCTAGCCCTTGCAAGCCGTGATGACCTTGGACAAATCGTTTCATCTCTCCTAGCCACAGGTTTCCTTTTTCACGTGGGGAAAAGTTGTGAGAAACTTCCTGACGGAAAGACAGCTTGACTTAAATAAAGGCTTTAGAGTTGGACAGCTCAGTTGCCTTCTGTGCTGCTGTAAGATAAGCGCTGGACTACTAACCAGGAGTCCTGATGTGAGTCTGTGGGATAAAGCTCTGGACTGCAAGGTGGTTTCAACCACAAGGTCGGTGGTTCAAGCTCACCAGTCACTCCTTGGAAACTCTATACATGGTCGTTGTAGGTTGTACTCAGCAACAACTGACCACAGCGTTGGCAGTTCAAACCCACCAGCCGCACCTTGGTCACCCTGTACCGACAAGGTTGCTAAGAGTTGGAACCAACTCGATGGCAATTAACAATTTACACTGTCACCTTGGGCAAGACACTTACCACTTCTGAGAACCATCTTAAGGTTGCTGTGAGCATCAGATGAAATAATTAAGGGACATATGGGAGGTGCCCTCCCTACAGTGCTGATATTGTGAGTCTGTGGCCAGGTTTCTGACTATAAAACAGTCCTGCAGAATAGGCCAGTGTGATTTTGAACTGCAGCCCCCGCTTGCAAGGTCTGATCCTTTGGCTTCTTCCCAAGTAAGGAAATCAATAGGTACCTTTTTATTTATTTATTTTTAAAGCAAGTCAATAGTTAGCATTTTAAAATTGTTCTTCCAATATCTCTTTTGAGTAAAGGACCAAGACCTAGGTGACCAGGAATCCCAAGACCTGAATTCTAAATTCAGCTGGTCAAGTAGTTTATATTATGAACAACTTTGTTAGTCTATTAGGTTTTATAACCATATGAAATTGTCAGTATTTGATGTTGTGTTGCTGACGCAATGGCAATTTCATATGACTCAACTTTATATGAAGGTCTTCTTGAATTGGGAAGAAGAGATAGTGGACATGAAAGTGCTTTGTGAACTCTAAAACCAAAAGATCAAACCCACTTCCATCAAGTTTATTCGGAGTCATAGTGATCCTGTATAGGGTTTCCGAGGCTATAAATCTTTACTGGAGCAGAAAGCGTCATCTTTTTCCCATGGAGCACCTTTTGGGTTTGAACGACGAACCTTGTGGTTAGCACTCCAGTGTTTTTCCTGCGGTGCTACAATAAAATGTGAGGGATAATTAAATACATGCTGTCGTTCTCCCTGAAATTGTTAAGAAAAGCAGCACAAATCTGCTTGTTACAGGGAGAAGGGAAGTAAAGATATGTTCATTGTTTACAATCTGTCATTCACTGTGTTAATGTTGTTAAGTGCTTTGGAGTAGGTTCGAATTCATAGCAATACTGTATAGGGTTTTGCGAGGCTGTAAATCTTTGAGGGAGCAGAAAGCCTCTTCTTTCTTCTGTGAAGCAGCTGGAAGACCCGAACCACTGACTTTTTGGTTCCTAGTCCAGTGCTTATCCTGTGGAGCCACCGTGCCTCCTCACTGTGTTATAGACATTTGTTGTTGGTAAGTACTGTGGAGTCGGTTCCAACTCATAGTGACCCTGCACAGGGTTTCCGAGGCTATAAATCTTTACGGGAGCAGAACGCCTCATCTTTCTTCCACGGAACTATTAGTAGTTTCAAACTGCTGACCTTGAGGTTGACAGCCTGACTCATAACCACTACGCTACCATAACATTACCACTTTCATATTTATTGTTTTGATTACAGAATTGATGAAAATGCAGTATCGGTTTTACAACAAGATCACTATCTGGATACATCCTGGAGAACTGATAATGGCCTTATTGTAAGTATTTTATGAAAATACTAGGGACATTAATTTATCCCAGAGTAGCAGTTTTTTTAACTTAAAAACAAAACAAAACTTGGTGACTGAAATAATATGCTAAAACATTTTTCTTACTTGAAGAATGAAAGAAACTGCTTCATTCTTTTGATTTGAAAACATGACCATTGGGAAGCAATGGGAGCAAAGTAGATTAAAGTGGAACTCCTTACTCTAACACTTACCAGATTTGTGAACCTATCTAAAAAAAATGGGCATCATTGCAGAATTCATATCTTCCTTTAGCAGTTACTTACTGAGTACCTAACTGTATGTTAGACAGTAGGCCAGTTTTGAGAATACAGCTATAATCAAGATAAACATGGTCCTGCTCTCAAGAAATTTACGTTCTAAAGGGCATTCAGACAGTAAATGAATAGATAAATTAGTTATACAAAATGAAGTGTCTTGGATTGAATTGTGTTACCTCAAAATATATGTCAGCTTGGTTGGGCCATACTTTTCAGTGGTTTGGCAGTTACATGATGATTTAATATGATGTCATAAACCAGTCTCATGTGATAATAAGAATTCAGGGTGAGATACACCATCCTTAATCCTACCATGACCTTGGTCTGATGTAAGGGAGTTTGCCAGGGGTGTGGCATGCAACACTTTTTATCTTACAAGAGATAAAAAGAGAGAAATGAGCAGAGAAGGGACTACCTATTACCACCAAGAAGAGCCAGGAGTGGAGTGCATCCTTTATACCCAGGGACCTTGTACTGTGAAGCATCTAGAGCCAAGAAAAGATTGATACCAAGACACTTGGAGATCTCCAAGCAATGAAAGGAGACCAGGACCTTTCTCCAAAATCTGCACTCTGAATTTGGACTTCTAAAATCCTAAACTGAGAGGGGATCCTGATGTGGCTCTGTAAGATAAGCACTGGACTGCTAATCCCAGGGTCAGTTCAAATCCACCAGTCGCTTCTCAGAAACCCTATACTGCATCCTTATGGCCGGAACTGACTCAACAGCACTTAGCAACAACAAGCTTCAAGGGTAAATTTGTTTGTTGAAGCATCCACATGTGCTATTTCTGTTATAGCAGCACTAGATAACTAAAGACATGAAGGAAATAAAGAATCTGGCTGAGAATAATAAGGTGGGGAGTTTATTTTAGATTATGCCAGTAAGGTACACTGAGGAGGTGACATTTAAGTTGAAAACTGAAAGAAATAAGTAAACATGGGGAAAGTTGAGGAAAAAACATTTGAGGCAGAACAGCAAGCACAAGGGTTCTGATTAGTGACCAATGTCTAGACTAGTGGGAAGCAGGTAAGAGTTTATCACGTCAAGGCCAGTTCAGTTCAGGTTCAGATGATGCTCAAGAGTTTAGATTTTATTCGTAGTGTGTGATACATTATATGCAAATGGTTTTATACAAATGGGGAAATTAATTTTTCTGAGAGTCGCTTTGAGTTGGGAAGCAAAGGGATCAGTTAAGAAGCTTGTAATGATAGGCAAGAAATAATGGTGGCTTGGCCTGATGTGGTAGCAAAACAAATACAGCTTTAAATTCTATTTGGAGTTAGATCTGGTTCGTGGATTGGATATGGGGATTGAGGAAAAAGGAAAGAATTCAGGATGATCCCTAATTTTCTAATTTGAGGAACTTTGTGACTGGTAGTGCCATTTACAAAGTTGGGAAGGTAGGGGAGAAACAGGTAAAAATGTGTGGCAGTGAAATTTGTTTTGAAATTTTAAATTGGAGAAGGCAATTAGATGCCCACGTGGAAATGTTGAGTGAGCAGTTAGATAAAACAGTTTGCACTTGGAGAAGTGGTCTCAGCTGAAAATGTATACATTTTGAATCATCTAGGAAGAGATTGTGACTTGGGGGGAAATAATTATAGCAAGTTTTGGCAGTAGGTGAAGTGTTAGTACTTGAACAGTAAATAAAGAAGAAAATCTCTATTTTTCTCTTTTTTTAATAGCCTTGGACTCTGGATAGCACCATCAGTGAAGAGAACAGAGCCGTCATTGAGAAAATGTTGTTGGAAGAAGAATATCCTTTAATGATTATAAGAAAAATAGAGATTTCAGGGTTAAAAATGTGTGCGTGCAAAAATTGTAAAAGGGTAGAGATAGAGTCAACTGGGTTTTATTTGGCCCCAGACTGCTGTTATCTAATATTGTTACCTGTTTTTAGCAAGAAATGTCTCTTAGGCACAAAAATTTGATTGCCTCAGTGAGGCTTTAAAGAGGAACAAAAAATGCTTAATGCATCCATTATGGGATAAATTGTGGCATCAGCTTTTTTGGAGTTGACAATACCTCCCTAACTCTACTCCTGGTACTGAGCTAGTGTCATCTAAGGAAAGGACAGCCATCTTCCCATTATTGGGGGGGCAGATGTCACTGTGGCATCTGAGCATTAGTACCTCTTTCAACCTTAAATGTGGGCACGTGACCAGAGATACTCCTAAACCTTAAGGAGTTGGGACATGAATATACTTGCCACATCAAAAACTGAAATCTTCCCTGGGCTGTTTTTATGGTCAAAACACATGTCTAACCTGGTAAAAATTACACTATCCCTATGGTATACCCCTTCAAGATAATGAAGGTGGAACATTGATTTCAGCTGTAACTGATTATAGCCTCCTGTTGTCGGGGCACAAGGAGTTCTGGTAGTGTAGTGGTTACGAATCGGGCTGCGAACCTTAAGGTCAGCGGTTTGAAATTACCAGCCGCTCTGCGGGAGAAAGTTGAGGCTTTCTACTCCTGTAAAGATTTACACCCTCGGAAACGCTGTACAGGGTCTCTATGGGTCGGAACCGACTCGATGGCACTTAACAACAAATTTTTAGCAAAAGCAGCATTTTATTCCTCAAGTCCTGTTTTAATGATAAATCTAATGTCTGACTCAGTATATAATTGAGTTGCTGGTGTCAACCATCTCTTCATAGTGAATGTAAACTTTTTGTATTGAGTTAGAAGAATATAATATTTAAATCAGAGCTTACTCTAAATCCAAGGTCACTTAGTCTAAGTCTCTAATTTCAGTTATATAAGTTGAAACCCAGAGATGTTAGGTCCAAGAACCTAGAATTAGAATATGTAACAATTCTCATTTCCTAATGTACCAATTTATGGGTGTGCTGTTAATATAAGTTAAAAGCATAAAATAAATATTACATAAATAAATAAAATTATGAATATCTGATCCCCTAATACACCTACCCCACCCCCCCAAAAAAAATCTGTAGATCCTTGTCTGCCATTCTACCATGGGCTTCTAGTGATTCTTGTTTTTTTATCTGTGTGTGATGTTTAACAGTTTCTAGATTAATGAACACAACTAGTCATTGGTTCCATTGAGAACTTAATTACATATTGTTGTTGTTGGGTGCTGTCAAGTCGATTCCAACCCATAGCGACCCTGTGTAGGGTTTCAGGGAGTGACTGGTGAGCTTGAACCGCAGACCTTGCAATTCAAACAACTTTGCAGTCTAGCACATTAACCCACAGCGCCACACCAGGATACCATGTATTACTTATAAGCTCCTAGAAGACAGATAATGTCATGTTATGTCTTCATCCCCAGCACCATCACATCTTTAAATTTTAAACCATTCAGTGTTCCCATGTTCTGTTCGAACAACTGCCTCTTGGTCCAGGTACAGATTCCTATATGAGCACAATTAAGTGTTCAGGAATACTCATACTTCGCAATGTGGTCCATAGCTTGTCATGATCCACATAATCGAAAACCTTGTGTAGTCAATAAAGCACAGGTAAACATCTTTATGATACTCTGCTTTCAACCAAGATCCATTGGACATCAGCAATGATATCCTTCATTCCATGGCCTCTTCTGAATCCAGCTTGAACCTCTGGAAGTTTTCTGTCAATGTATGCTTGCAGCCGTTTCTGTAGTACCTTTAGTAAAATTTTACTTGCATGGAATATCAAAGAGATACTTCACATATAATCCTAATACATGTAAGAATTCTGAGGCATAAACATTGTTGATGTTGTTTTTTTAGACCTATAAAAGGCATTGAAAGAAATTGGTTCATCTAGAATTCTCATGTAACTTTCATAAGTATGTGAGTATCCAGTTTGTATGTACCATCACTTGTCTTAGTTTATCGTACTGTGGTGGTTGTGTGTTGCTGTGATTCTGGGAGGTATGCACCGATATTTTAAATACCAGCAGGGTCACTGCAAAAACCATGTGGGGAACATGTCTGACATTCCCTAGTTTCACAAGGGGAAAGAGAATCAAACTCAAAATCAGCCCAAGACCAATTCCTATGAAGTGAAGATCGGACATGCTTCCACCCTACAACCTTCTTTATTCAACCAACTCAGTATATAGCAGTTCTCCAGTCAGGAAAGCTTCTTGTGAATGCCCAAAGGGTACATTCTTTAAGCCAGTCTCCTGCTCGTGGGCACTCAGCTTTACTCTCTCCATGGGTTTAGAGCCTGAAGCTGCTCTGTATCTATGCCACCATATCTGTTGTTGCCTCTGCCTTTGCCTCTGCTGTCATTGTTTTTCTCATGTCTCACTCATGCTCTTCCCTCTTGATGGCCCTGAGATCTTATGTTTCTGAGATGGTTCCTTTTAAGCCTAACTAAAATGTGCAAAGATTTAGAGTTAGAAAACCTAAAGGGAAGAACACGGTCAGTATTTCTCAAGC